TTTCAATTGAATAACAACCCACTGTAAAAGTAAGATGAAAAAAGAGAGTTTTCAAGTAAAGATTGAGTTGCGATTGCCCAGTTCTTGATGGATCAAAAGAAGAACGAAAAATTGCAGAAAGGTGCAATTATATTAGCTGTAAAACAAATTGCAAGTGCAATAAAATGACCATAGAAAGAATTTCGAAACGTGCTCCCAAAAATAATTGTCAAGGTGAATCTTATGCTAATGTTGATTATTTGAAAAAATAAAACTTAAGTGCGAAGATTAGGGAGAACTTGAAAAACTAAGACATATTCCTTTTAGAAAAAGAGACACTATAAGATGAACCTACCTTCAAGTTTAAAATACAGTAACGAAATTATTGAAAACTTCAAAAACCATCTGAACACTCAAAATAAAAATTAGGAGTAATAATTTTAATTGATTGTTTAATTTAATCTAGTTTTTTGATAATAAATGTTGCGTACCATACAGGCTGTCCCAGAAAAAGTGTTAGAGCCGAAGAGGGGTAATTCTAGAGGTGTTTCTGAACAACAATTTCCTTTGGTAAAGTGCAAAGTGAACCATGGTTTTTGAATTGAGCACACGTAGGGCCCGAGCCTAGCCACCATTTTTTTAATTTAAAAACCATGTCTCACTTTGAATTTGGAAAAGGAAATTGTTGTTGAGAAGAATCACTTCTTTTCGGCTCTTACACTTTTTCTGGGACACCTTGTACTTGTTCTCTCTTGCTACTATTATTATGGGACAGAGGGAAGAACTGTTTATACTATATTTGCTTGTTTTTATTGTTTTTTAATAATTTAGTATGAACTTAGCATGATACAAAATTGGAATATTATCTGAAGAGGTAGAAGTCATAGTGTAGGTCCATTAATCTTAATTTAAAAAATAGAGGTTTCACTGCACGTGGTATAATCAATTATTAAAGCATAAAATAGTGATATACACTATAATTGAATACTAGTACGTCTTACTGTAAAAAAAGGTGGTGATAAATTGACTAAATCTAGATTCTGTTTCCATAGACAGTGATCCTAAGTAATTTTCACGATTATGTAGCTAAAACAGTACAATTTTTAAGAAGAAGAAATAGCAAGGAGGGAGATAAGTCAGGACTTATATCACTATTAGCATTTATAGTTGAAGAAAGCAATGAACATTACAATTTGCTCGTAAAGTGATTTATACTACTATGGGGCGATTTCTTCATGGCCAGTTAAAGCCTTAGTTATTACGTATTTTGCTGTTAACTATAATCTAGATAATTGTGTACTACATCAACGATGACATCTGGAAGTTAAATAGGTGAAGAAATGCGTAGGTCTTGCAATTAGATATCTCGCACATAGCGTTAAGTAGAGGATATCTACCTATAATTGGAGAAATCAATCGTACGACTTTTAGCTTCTTATATCAACTGATATACATAAAAAATTAAATGTGAATAATATATAAAACAAACTAAAAGTTTTAGATTTAAAGTTAGATTCTCTTTAACTTAGTCAAGAAGAAATACTGATTCTATGATATATTTTATATTTCCTTCGATAAATGTGAAAAGGTTCCACAAATTAAGTGTGACTTTTGTCACTCACTATTTAAGAGTTATCTCGCTTGGAGCCAGTAAAACGATTAATCCCATATCGAGCTTTCCATTTCCGATTAATGTAATATGATCTGGGATCGAATATACGTGTGAAACAATACTAATGTAATAAGAATAATTTTGAATTTTTCCATTTTTGCTTATACAAATTTAGTTAACACATTAATCAGATTTTCCTAATTAAAATGACAATAAACATGCTATAATATTGGTAGTTAATTACGATACACTAAAATGAATTATTAATATTTTTCATACATGACTGAACATAATTGAAATTATATCATGTTTGGTGTCAGTTTAATCAAAATCTCTAAAAAGAATCTCACAAATATGATAACAGTGAGGGATGGTTCACAGGACAGATCATCGACATTCTTTTCATAACTAATTTCCCAATACGGATTCCCCAAGATGTTAGATAATTTAAATCAAATTTTTCCATTGATAATTTATGTCAAACAAAAATTCATAAAGTTTGCAAAATTCCAGATAATTCCAGATTTGAAAGGATATCTCGTGGAACACGATTGTCAATATGTTTGGGACTTCATTTCTCCCATTCTAGTGAATGAAAATTAATGAAAAAATTCGAAGATGTACTACTATAGGAGTAGTATATGTGAAAATTTTTTCATAAATTCTGTCGACAATTTGTATTAAATAAAAATTCATAATTAGCAAATTTTCAGATGTTGTTTTTAAAGGAGTATCCCTTCGATATTTTTTTAACCGTTCCCAGTGGATGGAAATTGATGAAAAAATTTAAATTTGTACTACTATACGAGTAGTACATTTTTTAGTGTGAGGCTTTCAGCAAAACCTAACATTAACACCAAAATATAGCTCCTACACGATAAGTGTGACTTTCAGTCCCAACAACTTCACATTTATCGTAAAAATACTGTAAATAAGAAATGATGTATAAGCAAATTATATTCATTTCATTTTATTTTGCTTTAAATATAATTCTAGTGCTAATCGTATGTTGTTCTATATAAAAATTCTCTAATATGAACAATTTGTCCCCCAGTAGTTTTTATAATGGACGTTCTACTGTAACTCTTGAAGTCCCAACGTGCAACACTCATTTTAAAAGTGCCTAATACCCCATCATCCGTTTTTGTTAGCATTATCCGCAGTTTCCTGACGTTAAAACAATATTTCTGGTTGAGAAAATGAAATATCTTACCACCTAAATATTTCATTTTGTCCAGTCATTCGGATGAACATGTCTAGAAATATCATCCGGTGGGATCTAGGCCTCGTCTTACTATATCGCACAGGATAGGTACTCACTTTGAATAATACACGCCGCCAGCAGCGCTTCTTCACCCGGACTGCAATACAGGCGCCCATGAAGAAGGTCCCTTTTTAGCTGTTGGTAAATTTGATACCTGGTAATTTCTTCCTTCAGCCTCAAAGGGTCCGGTGGGTAGAATTTTACGCGGAAACTGAACAAAATCGGCTCCATATCTGTAACATGCGTACGTATTAGATCGGTGCATATGAAAACGCTGCACAGTAGTCCGAAACCGTAAAAACGCTAATTAAATTCATGAAACTGCTCTTTATGGTTTATGTCAGGATAAGGAAGAGTACGAGAACTAATCTTTAACTTGATCCGCCTGACGGCGCCAGTTCTTTCCACTGTTTGTTTCTTAACCACGTGTTTTCTTTGTCATGCTCTTCGTCAGGGCTGCCAGAATGCAGGACTTCTCCTCTTCCCGTGCTCTCCCCACTATTGAATGCTCAATGTACTCTTCCCACTTATATATGGCATTATTAACACTAGATTGCCCAAGGCAGTCATTTTGACTGC